GTTTGGTCAATTTTATATGACACTTGCTTTACAAAGTGTGGATTATCATCTTCCTGAAACCTGTTACTGGCATGTTCTCAAAGGTGATCAATGTCACTGGTGGTTCTGTGAGTTTTTTCATCTACTTAAAAATTATTATCTTAATAAATAAAGGTGGAATACAATTAACATAATGGCAGTGCAGTGAAGACCCCAAATCTGTTTTGAGTTATCTGGAAAGGATAATGTGCCTCCTCAGTAACTTGATTTGTAACCACTTCAAATGACTTCCCTGATACTATGAGGAAATCCCAGGTGTTGATAGTTAGTTGACAGGGTGTTAATGTCATTAACATTCTGTCAGCTCTTCTTGTCAATGTGTTAATGGTGCCCCTGCTGCTCAGTCACTCTCTGTCCTCCGGTTGGGGAAATGATTTAGCCAGCAGTCAATCAAAAAGCTAAGCTGATTTTGGGCAACAGAAAGCCCTACTATTGACAAAATCTCTGCGAGTAAATGTGGTAAGAAATTTGTCAACTGGATATAAACAGTAAGGTCAACACTGTGGTTGATGTGCTTTTTTAGATAGTTTAAGATGTTAAGAATGGACTACAACACATATTTAAAAGTCTAAGAAGCCCTCTTTTAAGAATGGGTTTCTTTTCTGACAGAAAAAGCAAGGATTAGTAAGTAAAAATGATGCTTTGACTTCTTAAAAAAAGTAAAGTGTTGGAGTTCAGAGCACAATACCTGGAAGTCTGCTACCTTGGCATGCTGAATACTTTGAGCTGAAGGATACCAGGAGGACCACAGAAGCAAGAAGGTGTCTCTGAACTTATCCCTCCCTCCTTCCTACCTTCCTTTGTCTCCTGAAGCAAGTCAAAGAAACTAGAATTCCTCTCCCTTGAAACAAGCCATAAAACCTAGGAAGATCACTTTTTAAGCTCTTCCATTCTCCACCAAAGACTTTCACATAGGCTGGGTGCAGTGACTCGTGCCTGTAATCCCAGCACTTTGGGAGGCTGAGGCGGGCTGATCACCTGAGGTCAGGAGTTTGAGACCAGCCTGGCTAACACGGTGAAACCCCTTCTCTACTAAAAATACAAAATTAGCTGGGCATGGTGGCATGTGCCTGTATTCCCAGCTACTCGGGAGGCTGAGGCAGGAGAATCGCTTGAACCCTGGAGGTGGAGGTTGTAGTGAGCCAGGATCACGCCACTGTACTCTAGCCTGGGTTACAGAGTGAGACTCCATCTCCAAAAAAAAAAAACAAGACCTTCATATGACAGGCATCTTTTCCCCATACCTGGGGGAAGACTGTCATATAGAGATACAGAAAATAATCTGAACCAGTCTTGATGGGTTCCCTCCAGCTTATTACCATTAGATCATATCCTTTTATCCACCAGTCATACTAAGGGAGGAGACCATCCCTCATATTGTCTTATGCCCACTTTCTACCTCCAAAAAAGAAAAAGTAAAAACTAAAAGGCAGAAATGAAATCCACAAGCAGACAGCTCAGAGCCACACCCTGGTACTGGTAGTTAAAGATCAACCCCTGACCTAATCAGTTATGTTATCTATAGATTACAGGCATTGAACAGAAAAGCACTGTGAAAATCCCTATCCTGTTTTGTTCTGATCTAATTACCGGTGCACGCAGCCCCCAGTCACGTACCCCCTGCTTGCTCAATTGATCATGACCGTCTCACGTGTACCCCCTTAGAGTTGTGAGCCCTTAAAAGGGACAGGAAGTGCTCACTCGAGAGCTCGGCTCTTGAGACAGGAGTCTTGCCGATGCCCCCAGCCAAATAAACCCCTTCCTTCTTTAACTCAGTGTCTGAGGAGTTTTGTCTACCGCTCGTCCTGCCACAATACTTCTGCACAACTGCCCATAAAATACATGGTTTTTCCCTGTTTCTTTGAGTCTTCATTTATGGAGGTTTCTGTGTCACATAAAACTCACATTAAATAAATTTGTATGCTTTGCTCTTGTTAATATTGTATTATAGGGTGTCAGCCATGAACCTTAGAATGGGTCAAGAAACATTGATTTTTCTCTCCCATACCATCTAATTTTTTCTGAGTCAGAACAAGCAACCAATTTTGGGTAGAGAAAGGAAGAAAGAGGTGATGAGTTTCCTTCTAAAGCCATTGGCCCCAGCAGGCTAGAAATAGCCTTGGAAAGGTTTTTGTTTGTTTGTTTGTTTTTGTTTTTTGCCTATTTTTTTCTGACATTTACTTGTGGAGCTGTGGATCTCTCCTAAAACTGATTATACTTTACAGCATGCTCTATAAAGGTGATTCAATGATACTCACATTTGTGAGATTTATATGAAGAAAAGTTTTATAACTATAAGCACAGCCTAACACTGTTTGACAGTATCATTTTGAAGTGCTAAGTAAAAGCAAGGGCTTGGACTAGATGATCTTCATTGTCTCTAGCTATAATACTGTGTGATTCAACACACATTTACTGAGTGCCTACATTGTGCTAGGTGGTAGGCATTGTGGTGGGCATATAGTAATTAACAAACCATACATAATCTCTCCCATGGGGACAGCAAGACAGAGAACATACACATGTCAGACTGTCAGCAGCCTGAGGTCAAGTTTTCTATCATCTTGTGTACTGTTCAATTTTCATGCCTGGCAATGTCTAGCATATTGTAAGTGTTCAATCAAAATTGGGAAAGAGTAAGGGTAAATATAGGGTGCTCCAGGACATAGACTGACTTGGAGATTTGAAGATTCAACCTGCATATTCGGTTGCCCTGAAGCCATCATGCCATTGCTGCTAACTATAGAACTGTTGCTATTCTGAAGTCCAAAGGCATATGAGTGCTTTTCAGCTTGTGAACTCAGTCCTCATAGAGAGATTACTGTTTAAGTAGCTAAAGTTACTTTCCATGGAAACTATTCCCATACTTGTGCCCCTAATTATTCAATTTAAAGGGCCAGTGACTTGAAGCAATACAATGTATTGGCACTGGATGGAAACATTGGAAAGATCATCGAGTACAAAGGATCCTATACTAGAAACGGAATCATGGTTCTATTTTTAAAACAGGATCAAGTATCTCACAATAAAATATCTTTCTCTTTTAGCATTGCCAGGAGGGTAAAAAATATATATATATTAGGTAGGCACCAGAACTCATATACATACATATAATGATTATGCATTTTGTTTGTCTCTTTCTAGAAGACAGAAACTCTCAATGGGTGACCAAGAAGTCTTTCAAAGGAAGAATAACTTGAGCCACAGTTTTATCATTATAATCCATTAATTCATAGTTTTTAACCAACCCAAGTCAATATTCAAATTTTTTCTCTGAAATAAATTGCTGTGTACTTTATTTTGTTTCTTTAAAGAATATGATATGCAAAGTAACAGCCCCATACATTTTAATACAGTTTTCAATCCCCTTGTGGACAAACAGTCACACTTTAGTGCCACTTAAATGAAGAATAACCATTCATCTGTAACATACAGATGCAGAAGGCTCTGGATTTTCATTTTAAAGTGCTTAATTACCTGCATAAAGAGAGAAATAAAATAAGGAGTCCAGGCCAAGTTCACGAGGGTTTGAAATTACTTTTCTTTTTCTAAATGAGCAACAAAGACTCAATGTTGCAAGCTGTTGTGTGGCTATAAGCCAACAGTAGAAGAAAATGTTCAAAAGAAAAAGGGGATCAGGAATTAAATTCAAATATAAGGCAAGAACCAAAATCGAAAGGTGAAAAAGGAGGTGGTGTTTCCAGGCACAGGACAATATAACATATTTGAAAAAAAAAACGTAATCAGCAATAAAGTGAAACCTTCATATTAAGTATTCCAACGTGGCCAGTAATGCAACTCAAGGTTATTTTTGTGGATTCCCTGCCTCCAATCACTCACAAACTTATGTTGCCAATATTTGTATTCATGAAGGTACTCAGAATCACTAAAGGACCATACAAAACACAGTATTCATTAATGAACCAAAACACTGAGAGTTAAAATTTTTTTTTACATAAATCTAAATTGCCATTCTTAAGTAAAACAAGTTCAGCACTGTGACTTCCAAGTTGGGCAAAAAGTAAAGCATATCAGAAAAGAAAAAGGCAATAGATTTAACCTTGAAACAAGGTGACTGCCAAATAGTTGTTGAAGGAATTTACTTATTATCAGATAAAGAATTTACAGTATTTATTCCCTCTAGAGATATAAAATGGTGAATCAATCTGTAGTTCAAGATATTTATTTAAACCCAGAGGAGGAGGATATGGCTTTAAGTTTTGAAAACTAAAATAGAAAATTATTAAAAAATCAGTTCTAATGTAGTTTATCTTTAGATACCAGATTTAACATTAAACAATTCAAGCTAAATGCTATTTCTCAAGTTTTCCTTTTATATATTTTTATGATTTATATGAATATACTGCTATAAACTAGAAGTTTCAAAAAATATTTATTTAACAAGAAATGCTTAATGTTATACAGATATCTACTATAATTTATGTAAATATATCATCTACTGATCAATTCGTCTATCCATCCAACCATGTATCCATTTATTCTTCACAGTCCTTTCAGTCTAGTGATATTAGTTATCCTCTTATTGTCCTTGAAAATGCACACATGCCCTCAGAAAATGTATACACACACAAAAAAAATCTCAGACAAAAAAAACCTTCTGTTGATCATTTACTTTAAACATTTGGTTATATAAGAATATTCTGTTTTGTTTTGTTTAGGCTTCATCAAGCCTCTTAAGACTTACCTTGCATATCCTGTGGGCTTTCAAATGGAATTCTTCTTTGAGAAATAGCATTTTAAAAAAATCTAATTGTTCCCTTGCCTACTGGTTGAAAACATCATGAAACAAAATTTATGCTACTAATAGAAAAACAGCATATACACAAATTCATCCGGATGGTGTGAAAAGACTACTAAATCTAGAACTAACCACACAGTTAGTAGACAGACAGACATAAAGACTAAAAACTAGACAAAATGCTTAAATAAATAAAGGATATGGTCATCTTTTCCACAAACTTATCGTGTTGATTTTCTGCTTGGGGGAATTTCTTGATGTCACGTTCCAGATGGACAATTTGTTGTTCCATTGATGCAAGGTTGCTCTTGAGAATTTGAGCTGAAACTAAAGAACAAAGTGCAAAGGATTTAGAATATTTTACCAGGTGTTCCACAAAACATCTAAAAGGAGATATTATCAGTTAAAGTCTTTTTTTAAAAAAATGTGGGAAATAGTTCCATGAAGTCAACTCATATTTTTCTGAATTACTGCTCATAAAAATTCTACTCTCCATGAAATAAATGAAAATGTGTAATATAATAAACCAAATCATCATGTTTAATATGGGAATGTCACCATTTTACTCAGCCATTAGTTCAAATGAAACCATTTCAATTTAAATTTATTGATGGAATTCCTAATATTTCATTCTTTAAAATCTAATTTGAAGATTAAAGAAAAACTAAGGTTCAAAGACATGTTATTAATGCATGTTCTTAGCTCTATAAATGATTTAAGGTTAAATTATATAAAAGGATCAAATATTTTTCTTTTGTAGAAATGTCCTGATTTTTATAAACCAGTATCTATGGTAAAAGTTCCCATCTCTAGTACTTTTCAAAGAGAAGTGAAAAATAACTGTTGATACAGAAAGATGATTTAGAGCAAACCCCAGCAAACACAAATGAACGTACATACCCACAAAGATTCAGCCTGCCCTCAAACACTATCATTATTTGCTGTAATTACCCCTAACATTCTCTGCACCTTCCTTTTTCTCTCACTGACAAGTAATAATTTTAAGTATTGTATTCAAACTGCTCCTAAATACAAGCACATTTTTCAGATCTGTCAGGAGACTGTCTTTTTACCGGGTAATTTTTTTTTTTAACTTGCAACTATTTTATAGATACTCTATTGCTGCATAACTGCCAATTATGTATGAAAACACTTCTATCAATATCAACAGCATTTGGCAAGATTCTGGTTGCAAAGATGAGGTAAGTGTTATAATTTGATAGATAGCCCGTGACATTAGTTTTTAAATCCTGGCCTCTGAAATACTGTTATTTTCATTAAAGGACCATGAAACATAAATAGAAAAATACTATGATTCTTTCTTATTTTTAAGCAAAGTTAGTCTTATGCAGAGACATATCAGCATTACAATGAAAAATTCAAGAGACTGCCAAAATCAACCCCTTGGCAAATTTCAGCCAAACTGTTCAGGTACAAATTCATCATGTTGACAGGCACATCTTTATAACTGAATGAGGAGAAAACACCTTAAATATACATGGAAGTTCAAGAGACTAAAAATCAAACACCAACACTAAAGACTACTTTTTTTCTATTAATCTGTCAGTTTAAATAGCTCTGTCCAATTTAGTTCCATTTGTTTAGATCTGACAAGCTTGGAAATTATTCTTTATTGCAGAAGAGAGTTTTATCAAAAATTTGCTAATGGTTCACCAATCATTGCTTGCTTTATTTAAAGGATGAGTTTGCTATGGAAGAAATAATTCTCTCTGATTTTAAAATTGAATTATTTCACTTAGGTTTCTCTGCTATATTCTAATTATTCAAAAGGTTTCTCCTTTCCCACTTGGTTGATTGAAAAAGTGAAGACAGGCCAAGTGTGGTGGCCCACGCCTCTAATCCCAGCACTTTGGGAGGCCGAGGCGGGCAGATTACCTGAGGTCATGAGTTTGAGGCCAGCCTGGCCAACATGGTGAAACCCTGTCTCTACCAAAAACAAAAAACAAACAAACAAAAAAATTAACCAGGCCTGGTGGCGGGTGCCTGTAATCCCAGCCACTCGAGAGGCTGAGGCAGAAGAATCGCTCAAACCCAGGAGGCAGAGGTTGCAGTGAGCCAAGATCCTGCCACTGCACTCTAGCCTGGGGAGCAAGAATGAAATTCCGTCTCAAAAAAAAAAAAAAAAAAATGAAGATAAAACATTGACCAGTCACTTATGTTAGTTAGGTTACACGGACATGGTGAAGTTCAGGGCACATGACCCAAAAATATGGTACCTTGGCATATTGAGTATTTTAAGCTGAAGAACTTTTAGAAATGACACCTGCAGGAAGGACTATCTGATCTTTCCTGGGCGCAGGTCTTAAGACCCTCATGTAGGCCCCGTGTGGGGGCTCACATCTGTAATCCCAGCACTAGTGGAGGCCAAGGTGGATGGATTGCTTGAACTCAGGAGCTCAAGGGCAGTCTGGACAATATGGCAAAACCCCATCTCTACAAAAAATATAAAAATAAGCTGGGCTGGACGTGGTGGCTCACACCTGTAATCCCAGCTCTTCGGGAGGCTGGGGCAGGAGGATCACATGGGCCCAGGAGTTCGAGACCAGACTAAACCACATAGTTAGACCTTGTCTCTACGAAAAATAAAATAAAAGAAAATGAGGTGGGAGGATTGAGTGCAGAAAGCTGAAGCTGCAATGAGTTATGATGGCATCACTGTATTCCTGCCTAGGTGACAGAGTGAGATCCTGCCTCAAATAAATAAATAAATAAATAAATAAATAAGGTGAGTGTGGTGGTATGTGCCTAGTCCCAGCTACTTAAGAGGCTGAGTTAAGAGGATCGCTTGAGCCTGGGAGGTTGAGGCCGCAGTGAGTCATGATCGTGCCACTCTTCTCCAGCCTGGGCAACACAGATTGATCCTTTCTCTTAAAGAAAAAACCAAAAACTCATGTGACAGATTTTTGTTTGTTTGTTTTTTTGGAGACAGAGTCTCACTCTGTCGCCAGGCTGGAGTGCAGTGGCATTATATCTCGGCTCACTGCAACCTCCGACTCCCTGGTTCAAGTGATTCTCCTGCCTCAGCCTCCCAAGTAGCCAGGATTACAGGCATGTGCCACCATGCCCAGCTAATTTTTGTATTTTTAGTAGAGACAGGGTTTCACCATGTTGGCCAGGATGGTCTCGATCTCCTGACCTCGTGATCCACCCGCCTCGGCCTCCCAAAGTGTTGGGATTACAGGCGTGAGCCACCATGCCGGGTCTGAGAGCTAACTTGCCTATATGCACCCTGAGGAAACCAACATCCTTATCTCTGAAGACAAAGGGACATAGAAATCTGAACAAATAGTTCTTGCTAAATTTCTCCCAGTTTATTTTACTTAGCTCATACTCTTTCTTTTCCCTATCATATTTTTCCACACCTCTCCATTCTTCATCAAATATACTATAGAAAACACTCAGGTTTAACTGTTTCTTTGGATCTTCATTTCCCTATGAATGCTCCCCTCCCAAGTTATATAAAACCTAAATAAATTTGCATTTTTTTCTTGTGCTAATCTGCCTTTTGGTATAAAGACCGTGGCCAATGAACCTAAAATGGGGAAAAGGAGAAGTTATTTTTCCTCCCTTACCTTAGAAATAAACTCACGCTAACTTTCTGTAATAAACAAAATGTGCTCAAAGGCCAGGTTTAGGTCACAATAGTAACGGCACTAGTCAAAAGGGGATGATGATGATGATAATGACTTCATCTTCTAATAATTCAATACAAAACTAGCCTAATCAAACTGCTATGCACACAGCAGTCTACATATGTCAAGTAATAAGTGAGAATATATTTTAACCCAGGGAAATTGCTTTTACCCTAAAGTTGCATTCTGAATAAATCAGTATTTTTCTGAACATCTGTCCTCCCCAATTTCACATGTATAATCTTTAGTCTTCTATAAATCTCTCCAGAGCTCTACTCCAAATTCTCTACCATTTCATATGCACTTTTTGTTTGTTCAAGTGATCGTCCACCTATCACCTTCTGCTTTGAATAAGAATTGTTTTTTGTCTCATATACATAAACAACAGTATCCTTTATAAAACTCCAAGCTGTCTAATGGTAAGATCTATATTTGATTTTTTGCTTTTCCCTCAGTACTTATCACTGTGCTCAGTATTTATCACTCAATAAATATTTATTAGATGAATATGTACATTTCAAGAAGTTTTGGCTCACATTTAAATTTATGTCTACTTCCACAACTGAAAGTACAGGGAGAGGGGTTAGATATAATCATCATGATTTGAAGTTACCATACCCATTATTATATAAGTAGAGAAAGAGAGCAGGGAGTTGAAATCTGTCTAGCAATATATAGAGGTGGTTTGGGAGATGCTTAGACAAATGGGAACGTGAGGAAAGGGGAAAAAGTTTAAAAAAGTAAAGGGCATCTTTCTTTATTAGGCTCTTCCGTTCTTCCCCTCTAATGAATTATTCATATTATGCCTGAACAAAAGAGAATTAAATATTGGAGATGTAATAATCTGAGAATTCTAGCTTATACAGAAATTTATGGCTGCATTAAACAATGTCATTATGTAAAGTGTTTATCCTTCCATCGGGGGAATTATGTTATCTTTGAGGTAAAAGTGACATTAAAGGAGATTTGGACCAGCGTCTTAAATTTGAAAAACTCAGGTTACAGAGTATCACAGTCCAAGTCCCTGTAAAACATAGCCTAAGTTAGAGCTTACTCATTAAGGCCTTTTTGGGATGAGCGGGATATAATCCCAGAGAAACGGGCATGAGGGAAAGACAGCAAATACAAGAGGGTAAGTTCCAGAACTTGTCACAGCTTAACCAAAAAAAAAAAAAAAAAAGCTGGTTGTTTAGTGTCTCAGGTTGTCTCCATCAGGGCTGACTTCATGGATATGCAATCTGTGCAGGTTCATGGATATGCAACCTGTGACTTCATGGATATACAACCTGTGCAACCATGCTGCAAAGGGCCCAGCACTTTGTTTAATACTTTGTTGTCATTTTGAAATTCTTAATAATTTTTGCAGTGGGGTGCCACATTTCATTTTGCACCCGGACCCAAAAATTATCTAGTCAGTCCTGGTCTCCAGATAAAACAAATGTAACTTAGAAAAGTTGTTTACAGGCCAGGTGCCTTGGCTCATGCCTGTAATCCCAGCACTTTGGGAGGCTGAGGCAGGTGGATCATTTGAGGTCAGGAGTTTGGGACCAGCATGGCCAACATGGCGAAACCCTGTCTCTACTCAAAATACAAAAAAATTAGCTGAGCATGGTGGTGCCCGCCTGTAATCCCAGATACTCGGGAGGCTGAGGCAGGAAAATCACTTGAACTTGG